TGCGGCCCGGCCCAGCGCGGCCATCGCGGCCCGGCCCCGAGAGCCACCGCCTCAGCCCCGCCGCCGCCGCTCTTTCCAGGCCTTTCCCCGCGCTTGGACCGCGCGCCCGCAGGCATCATGGGAGCTGTAGTGCGAGGCTTAGCCCAGCCCGGCCCAGCCCGGGGCATGACGGGAGTTGCAACTGCGAGGCCGACTCGGGGCATGATGGGAGCATGACGAGGGCTGCAAGTGCGAGGCCCATCCTAGGGTATGATGGGAGCTGTAGTGCGAGGTTTGGCCCAGTCCGGCCCGCGGCATGACGGGAGCTTCAACTGCGAGGCCGGCCCGGGGCATGATGGGAGTCGTAGTGCGGGCGCTAGGCCCGGGCCGGGGCATGACGGGAGCTGGCGCCAAGCCGGCCCGCGGCATGACGGGAACTGTAGTGCCGGCGCCAGGCCGGGCCCGGGGCATGACAACTGCGAGGCCCATCCTAGGGTATGATGGGAGCTGTAGTACGAGGCCCGGCCCGGGGCATGACGGGAACTGCAACTACGAGGCCGGCCCGGAGCATGATGGGGGCTCAGTGCAGAGAGTGAAAGCGTGCGGGGCTGAATGCCTCAGTATTGCGGGTTAGTCTGAGCTGTAGGGATGAAAGTGAGGAACAGCTGGGCTCGTGTTTGCCGCTGATTCCGGAAACGCAGCCGCGGGTGCGGGGGTCAGGTCTGGCGCTGGGAGGTACTTGAGCGGGGCTCTCCAGCACGTGGTCGGCATGGCGTGTGTTCGCTTCCTCTTCCGGCTGCCTGAGGTCTCTGGGGTTTGCAGTCCACAGTCATAGCGGCATGATGTTCCTGCTTCCAGGGGCCTCTGGGGTTTGTAGTCCATAGTTCCCGCTAGCAGTGAGTTTCTATGAGTTAGCAGCAGGGCAGCTCTGTACCTGGGGAAGGTGGGTTTAACCCTGCCCAGGGTTTGGGAGGCGGGGCAGCCCTTACCATCCTCCCTCCCCCAACCCTTCTCTGCTGGAGCAGACAGCCCAGCCCAGGGCTGCAAAGCATGCTGGGATTTAACTTGACTAGGAAGGGGTCTGGGGACAGAAGTTTCATAACTGATTTGAGTCAAACCAGCCTAAGTCTGATACTACATTCAACCAGGTTTATCTTAAATCTGTTTCAGCCATTTTGAAACTGGTTTATATGCACTGAGCTCCTCTTCTTTTATAGATTTAAACCAGTTTCTGATCACTTAAACCAGTTTATGTGCAATTTGTGCCCCTAGCTGCAGGCCTGGGGGTGGAGAACATCAGCAGGAGAACGTCAGCTTCCCCAGCCAGGTTCAGATGGTGTTAGTACATGTAGCAAGCTGGTTCTTAGTTGTTTAGATGATGCCTATAGGTGAGACCACAGGTCAAGGTGGACTCCTAAGTATTTGGGGTCAGGTTCATGGTTGACTGGTTTCCACAAAAGCAGATTCTTAGAAGGGCATTCACCTGGGTGTTAAGGAGATTAAAAAAGCAATAAGCTGTTTTGCCAGGTGCTTGCAGATCCATTCCTGTTCCTTGGCTGTCTGCTCTATCTTGTGTCTTGCTTCCTGACCTTTGACATAAACAGACTATTTCAAGAGTCTACAAAAAACTGCTTACGTTTCATTTATTACCAATTTTGAGGCACTTACTGACCCCCCCCTAGGCTCAGGCTTGAGCTGAGAAGGCCATTTTGGAGTGCAGGAAAAGAACTAAATGATGAAAACTTTGACATCAAGGAAAAATGGATCCAGCAAAGGAACACAATTGACATCATCAATACATTTTTTTTTCATGGACCCCGCATCTAATCCTTGTGGCTTTGCTTTACCAAGGTGGTGCTGGACAACTTTGAACACGGTTCGTACTGGACCAGGTAGATGTAACTACTGCATCAGTGGAATTGTATTAAAGACCCCACATGTGATTGTGGCAAAATCCAAACTAAAGCACACATCACAGAGCAATGTCCTAGTTATTTTAATGATTGTATTGAAGACCTGCACCAGGCTACTGATGCCTTGCAATGGATATCTAACTGTCAGTAGTCTTATCCCTTAGTGCCATTGTTTATAGGTTGTTCATAGCTTTTCCTGTCATTTGGTTGCTGTATTCCACATGAATAAATACATATTATCCATCACCATGGCTACGTTTCTTGATGACAACAAAATGAACCAAAGAAAATTACAGACAAAGATTTCTGTTTGTATCTCTTTATCCCGTATTTTGTAACCCTCAAGTGTTTACATAAGCTAGTAAGAATTCTCCTGCTTCAGAGCTGGAGTCTTTCGTCCAGATCTGGCACAGTGCTCTTGGGCAGCAAGTTAAATCCTAGTCAGATGAGAAACTCGCTGTTTCCTACTGGTGCCTAAAGGACCAGCAGATTAAAGGGTTTAGTTTGAAGACAAAGTCTTCTGGTTTCACACTGTTGTGAACTCCACTTCCACGTCTAATCAGTGGAATGCAGCAACGAACCTATTAGGGGCTCCTCGGCAGCCGGAGATATGACACCAAATCACAAGGTAACTGTTCTTTTTCTTTTGTTATTGGCCAGAATCATGTCTATAACTAACATGCAGCTAATATGCATGTCTCCCTGAGTGACTGAAATGAAGGACTTGTTCACTGTTTAATATAAAAGCATTGTTCAGAAAGCTCTGTGCTGCCTTACTCTTAAGATACTGTGGCTTTGCAGGAGGTTGGAGGGTTGAACATTTCTATTGCAACAAAACTGCCAGTCAAAGGGACAAAGCCAAGAGTAGCAGAGCTGGGGTAAGGAATCCAGGTTTTCCTACAGTGACGATAATAGTCATCAATAACAACTACGTCCATTTCTGTGGCACCTCTCATCTTTGTACTATAGCTTATTAAAGTTTGCAAGGGAAATCTAATCCAGCCTAACAGTTACGAATGGAGTACCAGCCTCTGCTGAAAAGTCCTGATGGCCCCAGAAAGGTAAGCAGAACTATCCTTGCAGATAAAGATGCCTTCTGGGCATGGGGTTTTGTTGGAAACTTTAACCTCAATTTGTACATGAAACATGCCCAAGTTGATTTATGTTTTTCTTGAAATCAGAAATTCAGAAAAAAAATAATTAGGATGAAAAGGAAATTGACTTTAGACTCTTCACCATCATAAACTGGGGGTTTTAAAGGACATCTTCCTGTTTTGTTTTGTTTTTTTCCTATTCGCACCTTGAATTTCTACTGAGCATTTTTTTTTTTTTAAAGTTAGGGACACTTTTATGACCTGATATAAGAATGCTCATAAAATGGCATGGCTGAGCAGCTCCCAAAACAAGTAAAGGTTTCTTGGTTTCTATGCTGAAGAACATAAACCTAGACTCAACTTGTAACAGGTAGGGTGATAAGCAGACAGAGGTGGGTAAGAGAGGATGGGCAATATCACAGTTACTCCACAGGGAACACGCGTACTGTAATGATTCTGTTGTTTAAAGACTGGAACCCTTTAAACCACCTGGCACATACCTTTTGCTCTGATGATGGGTTCCTCTGAGAGTATTTTCAGAAATTAAAAGAACAACTGAACAAGTGGTCCTACTGTAGATTGCAACCATGATTGAATCCAAAATGTAATAGCATTAGTCAGAAAGAAGTAAAGCCATAGAGATGTTTTTTTTAGTTGTAAGTGTAAAATAACAATCGTTAGTTTCTTTCCATTTAGGTCTCAAAGAGCTTCACCAAGCATTATAATCTAATAACCACTACCACCACGACCCAAGATGCGATGACATGCAGTGGCTTCCTCAAGCCACACACAGAATTAGTGGCAGACTAAGGACTAGAAACCACATATCCTGGCTCCTAGTTCTATATCAGGCCTGTTGGGCTGCTCTGCTACTCATAATAAGCATTGCTTTCATGAGAGCATAGGACAGCAATGCTGCATTGTTTGCAGGTTTTGGTCGGTGTAAATTATCATTCAGTGTTTGCTTCATACCAACGATGTATCAGCTCTTTGTGGCAGGCCTAGAACAGTGATCATGTGGTGCACAATAACAGAGAACTTGTGCCTTTAGAGTGACTGCAGTGTTTGAATATTCACGTGTTTAAAGACTTTGCATCCTCAGGAAGTGGGGGTAATGAAAGTATAGGAGTCAAAGTCAGTAATGGATTAATTCCACCAAGTGTTCAGGATTATCATTTTTAGCATTAATCATGAGTAAGAAATCATGAGACTTGATCTGCAATAATGAGGTCTGTTGTCTGCTTTCGCTGCAGTGCTGTGGAAGTTCATATGAGCCCATGTAGGCAACCTCCCCCTCTCCAGCACTCTTGGTGGTTGTTAAGGAATTGCATTTCTCCCAGCTGAGGAAACAGGGAGACTAGACAAAGTTGTCTAGGTGTTTTTTATGTGGAGAAATCATGTGATTGTTCTAAACTACTGGTCCTGAATGGTAAAGGAACGCAGGCACCCTGAAATGTTAAGTGTGATTATATATGGAACTGCTTC